TATGTGAATTAATTCTAAACCAAAACCAGTTTTTTAGTGTCCTGTGAATTAATTCCTTATTTAAAGACAAATGTGAATGCAGTGCTATGTATAAGCCTCTACACTGTATGGCTGTAACTGCAGCCATCATAGGTCACCAGAGACCTGGTAGATGTTAAGACGTTAAATATCAGAGCAGTGTAAATATGTTGTGTACAGTGCTTTAATGATGTCTCTGATCTCTGCGTGGGTTTAATTTGGGTTTCAGACTAATAATTGCCTTCTTCACTGGAATCGACATCTCTTTGGACTTCATGTTGAGTTCAAGTGAAAAGATGTCAAATGGAAGTTCCAACACTTAACAGTCAAATGTCCTGTTATTTTTGATTCTCTGAGTATATGGGACTACATACAATGACAGTAATTCCTAAAAATGTAATACAATCCTTTGCTAAAGCCCTTGAACTGAAGCTGAAAGTTGGCACTTTAATCATATCTCGATTGTGCATTTTAAAATCCTGCCTGTGGTGTACAGAGGCAAAACTACAACAATTCTGTCATTGTCCAAAACCTTATGGACCTAACTGTAGGAGGTAACTGATTGGTGAGAGCTCCATCCTTGTCACATTCACTCTCTCCTGAGGTTGTCATACTATACTCTTAGCATTCCTCTCACTGGCTTACAGCAATGATCTCCTTTGAGGACATGATGGAACTGGAGATGAAAGATTATGGAGAAAAAGCACAAATCAATGGATAATGAACACCAATCAATCACTAGAAGGGAAAGTAGGCATATGTGGCAACAAACAGAGCTCTCCTGGTCTCTGGCATGCCTTTGATTAATGCCTTGTCTCGCCATGTGTGGCTGGGGCCCCCATAATGCATTGCAGACAACTGTCTAGAGACTTAATTTTCTTCAACCTCAATCCTCAGAAACCCTCTCTCCATCCTCTTGCAGCTTTACGTGTTGATGCCTCCCAGGTGGCGACAGCAATAATATGACCATTAATAGGGTTGCCATAGTGATTAATCATGAATCCAGATGGAGTCAAAGCTCATTGTTCTATCTGAACTAGTAGATTTTTGGGTGGGCATATTTGTGCCCTTGGATTGACTCACAATTAATGCATATCATCTATGGAAAGCCTTAACATAATAACCCATAAAAACAATCCTTATTTCAGAACATATGAAGCAAACAGACTCCTTTTTAGAGGAGCCAAAAAGTCCAGCTGTAGTCTTTACTTGTTGCAAATTGCAGCATTGCTCTGTAGAGGTGACACATGGGTTTAACGAATGTGATGAAGTGTGAAATGACAGATAAGATGAAACCTAATTTAAGCCCTGTGGGGATTTAGATCACTGCAGAAGCAGCAGTAATAGGATTCAGCAGGAGAGGGACAAAGATAATGAAAACGCAAAGCTGAATGTAAATAAATGAAATATATGCAATTGTCTGGCTCTGGCTCTAACAATATATGCTTGATTAAAAATAACAGGGACGTAGATGTAGGGAAGAAAAAAGAATGTGATATATGATTCACAACTAGTAGATACTAGCCACTGTGCTTTTTATTAAAAATTTTTGTGATATTATTACAAAGCAAATCATTACCTGATGGTTATCCACCATCTTCAAAACTATAATTAATTTCAGTCAAAGATGTAATCTGATTTTGTTCAGCATTTAGTCCTCCATTACAATAATTATTCCTACACTCAAAGCTGCTTTAGCACTTTGAACGTATCAGTTTTTAGTCCATACTGCATGATTAAAACACATTTCTCTATGAACCCAATGTTATTGGATCAGAGGTTAAGGAAGGCTGTGTAAATCAAATTAACAGAGCTTGTCAGCAACTACTGGCAATTGCCCATGAACTGCACACATTTACCTTCCAACTAGTGGTTTCCACATGATTGCCACCCCGTCTCTATGTACTAAGCTGGCTTCTCTGCTTGGGCCACTGAACAGTTTCAGGCATTTGTGGTGTTGTTGTCTTTTTGAAATGCTTTTAATGCTGTTGTCTAGCAAATAACATGGTATGCCTGTACTAACAATTAATCTAATAAACACCAGTTTTGGTTAGTAAAATTAGATTGTTTTTTATTTGTATGTTAATTGGCTTTTAGTAGGAAGTATCTGTGTCCGTGCTAAGTACCCAGACAGTCTTATGAAGCTAGTGTGCTAATCCAGCTTCCTAGCATTACCCAATAAATTAGGGCTTGAGCCTCCAATGCAAACATGGTCAGTTCTAGTTTAATGAAGCAACACGGCCACTATAAAAATGGGGCTGCATAACAGGGCTTCAGAAAGTAATGGGAAGTTATGGCAGCTTAAGTGTTTTGTATACAGTCTATGAGCTCTACAGATAGCACTGATCACTGATATCTCAAAAAATGTGCCTATAATGCAGGTTTAGAAATCTCTTTGGATTCTTTTTGACAGTAGAACAATTTTAGCAACATAGTTAAGTACAACAGCCTGAATAAGAGCTTAGCTAAAGGGCTGAGTACCAACACGTTCTCAGCAAGGTGACAAATTTCACCATAACCTGTTGTTGGTTGCAACACGTTCTCACTCCCAACTCGTCAAACGTGTGACGCATGGTCAGGCTCCCTCTGCTGCACTTATGGACGCACAGGGTACCCCTCTCACGTCGGGAATTGACGTGAAGGGTCCGCGGAAGTGCCTTTTGTCGGTATATTTAGACATTTTCCAAATCACATTGTAGTGACGTATACAGAACACAATAAATTATATAATGTAAACAACTACCTGAAAAACAGGTAGAACAATACTTTTGTGTGGTTTATTGCATTTACGGAGGGAGTGATGTATGCTGGGTAATGGACAGCTAGCTACTGGGTGACTTTATCACCCGCTTCGGCTGTTATCAGTCCATACAATGGGCGTTATTAGCACAAATCTGTCCCATAGATATGGGCCATCTCCTGCTAGATTGTTCAGAAGGTTGTTCTCATCCATCCAGATGGAGGAGCACTAACAGGAGCGTGGGAAGACTCCAGAATCCACTCTGGCTGGAATCCGGTGGATATGCAGTGTGTACAGGTAAGACCATTTAAACGGACAGCATTTATAGAATGACTATTAAAAGTCAGCGAGTGTCAATAATGTTAATGTGGTTATGTTAGTAATACACCGAGTGCTAATATAACAGCTGTAAGATGCATTTGTAGATGTTATTACGTGTTTTACCGTCTTTATGGTGCTAGCTTAAAGTTACGGTGTAAACGTTAGCTTATATTGGAGGAAAGCTGTTACTGGTTAAACGATGTTAGCACAGAAATATTAGCTTCTGTCATGACTGATGAAGTTACTAGTTAATAAAGTTTCCAGTAAAGTGTTTAATCGCAGCCACAGACTGACAGCAAATATCTCGATTAGCTTCAGTGCATCTGTAATAAATATGTGCAAGTTTCAGTGCTTCGTTTAAACTGTATGATACTTATACTGACCCAGGGTCAGTGTAAAATACAATCCTAGCTGTGTGAACAAAGCCTGGATCCTTTAATCCTGCATGACAAACCTCAGGATGCAGGCTATTATTACTCTTTCCTGCTGGCACACCTGTCACACCTGAGAGTCAGCTAGAAACTTAATGACGTGGACATCATGCAAAGACTGCCAGACTCTGTAATACTGCAAATGAGCAGTGACTCAGGTTATCACTAAACTTTAAACGGCACCTCTGTGTCTCTGTGTGCTGAACATCTAGGATTGAGTCAGGCTACATTGACTGTGGGACTTTAATGTGTTAAAAGCAGGTTGAAGACGGCTCAGAAACATTTGAAGATTAAATTCAGCATTATGGCTGCTGGTGTTGTAAAGCCTCTACTCAGCTGTATTTTTGTTACTAATTTATGTTTGTTGTTGTTTAACACAGATTTCAGAAGAGCAAATATGCTTAATAGTTTAACTAGATTTCATTTGTCAGTGTGGGACTGCTGAGTCACCTGAAGAACTCATTTCATTCATTCTCCACATGATGTTCATTTACAGAAATGTTTCACAGGAACTGATTTCTCCCAAAGGGTGAACTAGTGTGTTTCCATAGATTACCTCTGTATGAATGTACTTCTAAATGAAGGCAAGTGTTTGTCCTTTTTGTTCCTCAGGTACAGTACGTGATATCAAGGGCAGGCGGTCAACACTGGGGGTAGACAAGAAGCAGACGTACTTCCAAGAGGGAGCTGCAGTGAGGTCAGAGGTCAGAATCTGAAACAGCTCAGGTTTATATTTTAGACGTTATAAAAAATCAAAATGTATTATTTAAAGAAACCTTTAAATAATAGTCATAATTATGATTATTATAAGAAATATCAAACATTTAAGTGGATTTTCTGTTACACATATTGTGTTAGCCCTGCGATAAACTGGCAGCCTGTCTTTGTCCTGTATCAGCTGGGATAGGCTTCATCCTCCCGCAACCCTGAATTGGATACATTGTATTCCAATTATGTAATCTGATCATTTACAAACTCAAGGTATCTAATCAAAATGTAAGTAATAATTATAAAATGGGAAAGCAGAAATAAGTGTGACATAAATGTAAATGTGTGAGCTGACATAGAGGACAGCTACATGCAGTCTGAAAAACCTTTGTTGTCAAGTTTGCTGGTATATCAGCACGAGACATTCTTACATAGAAGAGACATTAAAGTCTCTGACTCAGTGAAGCATTATTGGTCCCGTCTGTTTGGATAATTATAGTATGTTGATGTATGTCCATTTATTGACACATTTTCTTAAGTGCTTCTCCAGTTTAGGATCACAGTGGAGCTGCAGCTGGATATGTTCACTAAATAAACCTTACAAAGTTAACAATAACTGCATCCATGTACGTTGTTGTCCCAGGATGAGAAAATAAACTGGAAGACTGTGGAACATGTTATAAATGTTTGTGTGTTCATGCCTGTGTCTTTCACAGGAGGCGCTGGAAGGTTTCCTAATAGTTCCTGGTGAATCAAAGCAGAACCATAAAGGTTGCTGGACGCATGATGGCCTTACCCCTGAGCAGTCATCCTGTTAAAGGAGGAACCAGTTAGAAGCTGTTTTCAAAGTAGCTGAGCAGATTTCATCTCAAGTAAGCAATTAACTGTTTGTTTATCTGTTCTGCCACTTAAAGAGCATTTAAGGACGTCTTTGAGTGTCCAGTTGAATTAATTCTACTGGCTCTCATGGTCATTTGTTTATAGACATTTTTTCATGTTCATCCAGCTATTTAGTATATTCTATCTATTTAGTAATATCCGTCAGCTATAAAATGTAATATAAATAAAAAATATCTAAATATCTCCTGCCCTTTATGTTTTAATGATGTAAGTCTGTTATCGTGTTACATTAGCATTCCTCATATCAATGAGATGCTGTACAGTACAATCTACTGACACAGCAGAGGGAAACGACGGCTATTCAACATCGTTACACGACACTTCGAGCTGCATGACGCAGACAAAGTGACTAAATCATCTTGTTGTGGTTTATTGTCTTCAAACCAGCAGACAAAGCCGATGGCAGAAGATGTCGGAGAAGAACTTCAGGCCGTGGACTGAAAAGGTATTTTTGTCTTGTTATCAAAGACATTTGGAGTGACGGCTTAACTGTTGTGCTAAAGTAAAGCTTACAGTCTAGAAGTCACAGTGTGTGTTCAGCACAAAGAGAAAAGCTCACTTGTTTGAATTTATTTACAATCATAGTTTTATAAATTCTGACTGTAAAGAGCTTTTACAGCTTTGATATTGTTTGACACTCGATATCAGGTTTAATTTAAAGGTTTCTGTGTCCCAATGAGCCATTTACACTGATCAGTGTCAGTTTAACTGTAACACATTCATTATTTAGATCCAGCAGAGAAATAGCTGAATGTAAAAATGGCAGCCCACAGGCAGGTTTATAGAGAATATATGCATGCATTATGAAATTTATGTATCCCAGATAATTGTTATTCATCTAGTCATGGCAGACCCACCCTTCCTCCCAAGTTAACTGCAACCCAAAAGAACTAGTGGGGCTATTTACACACTCACAACCAGTGTGGGGTAAAAAGAGCCACCAAAAAGCTGTCAGCCACAGATGTGCTAGAAGAGTTAGAAACTCTACTTATGGAGAAACTTTCTAAGTCTAACAGGACAGGTACTCCTGCCCAAATAACATGATATAACCCCACATACAGCCCAGCCATAAAATGAACCAAGTCATTTAGTTAAAGACAGCATGGGACCAAATGCATGTAACCAGCCTGCATCAACCTGACATTTCTTCCTCCTGAATTAAATGAATGAATGGATGAAAGTTAAATGACTACAAACCTAAAGCCACTAGTTCCCACACTGGAGCTCCCTGACACTGTGTGTTAACTGTATTTAGCTTGTATCAACAGTTGTAACAGGCTAAGCCACCCGAGACACTGCATTGAATTTGTTCCTGTCTTAATGATTTCAGCTGACTGGTTTCAGCTCAGATGTTCTGCTTTTTCCTTTCAGTAGATCAAAGCAGCTCGTGCTCTTCTGCTTCCAATTTAGAAGAAGAAGAAGAAGGCGAAGGCTTCAGCAAGTGGCGTTCATGGTCTCAGTGAACAGTCACGGTCACACACTGCATGTGGTTTTAAAGCAACATGTCTGTTCACCACAACAATGGAGATGTGTATATTAGTGCACTACGGTTTGTTCTTGAACATCAGTTCTGTTCTACTTTGATCACTTAGACCAAAAAAGTGTTGTTTTCAGATTCTTTCTTTTACATCTATTAACCACCTGTTCATTTTTTTTTATTACAATTAGTTTCACATGAATGTTAGTGTTTCCTTATGATCTTTTAATGCTTACACTACACTGACATGTCTACATTAGAGACATTTCTGTTACCTGTTCCTGTTGACTCAGATTGTGAATGTTCTTTTATTTGATACACAATATGAAGCTCATAATTTTCTTACAAATAAAACTCTAATGACAAACATGAACAGCTGTGCTTATTTCTGAGACATGAGTTTTTGAATGTGTTCATATTTAGTCAGTGTGCATCTGTCTGCTGAAACTGTAATGGTGAACCTGAGGTGATGGTCAACAGAAGGCAAATATATATCAATATAAAACAATATTGAAGTAATGTCTTTACCCTCTGCAGCGTGTGGACGCAATCACCTTATTCACTGTAGTAAACGTGCACCGCTAGCTCACGTGACTGACTGTCTCCATGGTTACATCGTATATTATTAGCTATGTAAACAGCTTCCAAAATGCCGCCATAGCTCTCTGCAGCTGTAACACTTAAACACTTTGCAATCATTTCACGTTTTGATAGTTATGAAGACAGAATATGTTTTTAAGGTCATGCTAGGCGGTTGCTATGGTGGTGCTGTGGACTCGGGTGGACCGCGTCCGATTCCTGTTATTAGCTGTCTGCCGTAGGAGCTGCGTTCCATTACATATGACAGTCTGCCGCAACTCGAACTCAAACCCCGCTTGTCTTTAATTATAGGCCTTTATAGCCGTTCATGACACGCACATACACACATAAAGCACTTTGCCTCACCATAGAATGCAATTTACCTAACCTAACCTTAAGTATCTGATATAGGATAGAAAAATGAACAACCAGAGATTAATGATGAAGACTCTGGGTCTGTAGTTCACGTTTACAGTCCGAATGACTCTTGCATATGATTATGAAGAGCAGTTTAGAATGCACTTACATTTAGACTGTGCTGTTTCTTTTTTACATTGTTGCTGTGTATGTCATGAATAAGGTTCACCTGCTGGGGTTTGAGGATCAGCTGGACAATACAGTCAAAGACAGACTTCATCATCATATGCAAGAATCCTAGTTGGATTTGTTGTCACCTGTTTTGAACCAAATATGAAACATCTGACAGACTGGATACCTGGCCAGGGTGTACATTACCTTGTACTCAAGCATCCCAGGACAGAGCCCTGCCCACCATGACCTGGTGATACGTGTTATAATATAAAAGGACCGATACTGAATAAATTTCATGAAAATGAATTATAATACAAATTAGTAATAAGGTTCTCTGCGCCCCTTATTACCCCTACTCAAAACGCGGGCAGAGAGGTGACAGGAGAGGATGGCACTGAAGAGAAATGCCGGCTGGAGTCTCCTGGTCCTGTCAGTAGATGCATCTGCTGTGTCTTCTCGTGGATGCTCACCTACCTGACCGTTCCAGCCTGGTATGATTTCCCAACACTGCGACAGTGCCCACGCAGAGACGTTTAATATTGATTACATACAGTGGGGCAAAAAAGTATTTAGTCAGCCACCGATTGTGCAAGTTCCCCCACTTAAATGATGACAGAGGTCATAATTGCACCAGAGGTACACGTCAACTGTGAGAGACAAAATGTGAAAAAAAATCCAGAATCACATGGTAGGATTGTAAAGAATTTATCCGTAAATCAGGGGCAAATAGTATTGGTCAATAACAAAAAACAACTCAATACTTTGTAACATAACCTTTGTTGGCAATAACAGAGGTCAAACGTTTACTATAGGTCTTTACCAGGTTTGCACACACAGTAGCTGGTATTTGGCCCATTCCTCCATGCAGATCTTCTCGAGAGCAGTGATGTTTGGGGCTGTTGCCGAGCAACACGGACTTTCAACTCCCGCCACAGATTTTCTATGGGGTTGAGGTCTGGAGACTGGCTAGGCCACCCAGACTTTCAAATGCTTCTTACGGAGCCACTCCTTTGTTGCCCGGCGGTGGTGTTTTGGATCATTGTCATGTGGAAGACCCAGCCTCGTTTCATCTTCAAAGTTCTCACTGATGAAGGAGGTTTTGGCTCAAAATCTCACGATACATGGCCCCATTCATTCTGTCCTTAACACGGATCAGTCGTCCTGTCCCCTTGCAGAAAAACAGCCCATAGCATGATGTTCCACCCCCATGCTTCACAGTAGGATGTGTTCTTGGGATGCAACTCGGTATTCTTCGTCTCCAACACGACGATTGAGTTTATACCAAAAGTTCTACTTGGTTCATCTGACCACATACATTCTCCCATCCTCTGCTGTATCATCCATGTGCTCTCTGGCAAACTTCAGACGGCCTGGACATGCACTGCTTCAGCAGCGGACACGTCTGCACTCGGGATTGATCCCTGCCGTTGTAGTGTTACTGATGTGACCTTTGTTACTTGGTCCCAGCTCTCTGCAGTCATTCACCAGGTCCCCCGTGTGTTCTGGGATCTTTGCTCACCGTTCTCATGATCATTTTGACCCACGGATGAGATCTTGCGTGGAGCCCAGATCGTGGAGATTATCAGTGGTCTTGTATGTCTTCCATTTTTGATGATTGCTCCACAGTTGATTTTTCACACCAAGCTGCTTGCCTATGTAGATTCACTCTCCCAGTCTGGTGCAGGTCTACAATCTGTTCCTGGTGTCCTTCGAGAGCTCTTGGCTTGGCCATGGCGGAGTTGGAGTCTGACTGTTTGAGGCTGTGGACAGGTGTCTTTTAACAGATGATGATTCGAACAGGTGCCATTCATACAGGTAACGAGTGGGGGACAGAAAAGCGTCTTACAGAAGACGTTACAGGTCTGTGGAGCCAAGATTTCCATGTTTGAGGTACCAAATACTTATTTCCACCCTGATTTACGAATAAATTCTTACAAATCCTACCATGTGAATCATGGATTTTTTTTCACATTCTGTCTCTCACAGTTGAAGTGTACCTCTGGTGCAAATTACTGACCTCTGTCATCATTTAAGGGGGGGAACTTGCACAATTGGTGGCTGACTAAATACTTTTTTGCCCCACTGTATGTCTGAATTGCTAACCCTAACCCTAACCCTAGCTCAACAGACCACAATGCCCTGGACTGTCAGTATTATTACATGCTGTGAACATAAGTACCTTTGATCACAGTTTATATTGTAAAAGAGAAGGAATATTGAAAAAAAAGATCAACATGTGATATTTCTTCCAAACGACCAGAAACATGCTGTCAGACTCTCACAGCAAGGATCAGATCACTGTGCATGACGGCTCAGGCCAATGATGTCTGTTAGATTGTCAGTTGTTTAGTGCTTCTGTACAGTTAGGGTCACCGTCTCTATTTCAGAATAATTAATATGCGGAAACACAAAGTGATGTCTCCAGTATTCTAGCATAATTAAAAAACTTTGACTTGTAAGTACATATATTAGTCCTAATGCCAGTATGAGTCTTCATAACTCCTGCTTTAAAATACTGAACTTTGAAATTGACCTGATGAAAGATCATTTACATGGCACTCTGTCAGGATCATCTGACTGTAAGATCACTGTATTAATCTGAATCCTTCTGAAAGTGCTGTGAATGAATCTGATGCAACTCACTGTGGGAAAGCTGTTAAAAAATGAATCTGGACACATGCAACACATTCACAGAGAAGAGGACACAAAGGGAGGACACGCAGAGGCTTGTTGAAGTCAGAATCCAAATCTTATTAAAAACAGGCGGCGGTAACAAACAGAGACAACAGTCCATCAAACAGTCTACAGGGTCAAACATCAGAGAATTCAAACAGCAGTAAAAATAACTGGAACTGAAAAACTTAAAGCAATGTGTGACGCAATAAAAGGAAGCAGCGGCAGTATATTCACTGAATTATCATCATTACAAAAAGAAAAACCGATTCTAAGGATTATTTCTTAATGCAGTTAGAGTGTGGCTGGTAAAGATGGAAACATACAGAATGTAAACTGTGTGAGTTGTGAACTTTGTTAGTAACAAATGAGGTAAAAAAAAACAACCCCAAACAGACAAAACAGAAAAGAGGCTCTCACTATCATCATAATTAGAAGAAACATTCTGGTCGTGGATTTTTACAGTCTTAGTTCCGCTCGCTGTCATCATTATAATCATCATGATCAATGCGAGGTCCTGAGTGGGCGGGGCTGTCTCTGGTGATGTCACCATGAAGGAAACAGCATCTGGCACGTGTTGGTGAAACATCCCAGTACGCTGGTGTAGTTTCCTCTCCAGCTGTTTGACATGTAACACTTGAACATTAAGGGGAAGAAGAAGAAACAGTGTTAGGTCAGTGACCACATGTTTCTAAAGTAACTGACAGGAAGTAACCAGGCCGTTAGAAATGGATGGCATGTGTTAGAGTACTGGATTGGGTAACTCTACTTACCAAAAGCAGAAGCACACAGATGAAGGATCAGATGCTGAATGTTGCAGGAACATGCTCATGTGTGGTGGTCATTCAGTGCTGCAGTTAGACAGTCCAAGACTGATATGCTGCCCATCTGAGAGTTTGAAAACACACATGCAAAGATTTATTTGTGTTACAGTCAAAGTTGGATGTTCATTTTGTCCTTTAAAAATGTTTGGTATTTGAAAGCACTAACATTTAAGGATGACTTGGATCGTCTCCTTTAAAGGGGAGACAAGTGTATCCACTGATCCACGTCACTTTACCTGGATGATGACTCCTCCCCCTCACTCAGAAACACTCCTAATATAACCAAGCAAATATAATATGAAGATTTACTACATCATTACAAAAACAGCAAAAACATCT